AGTGAATGCATTCAATATTAATAATAAATTTTTAAATAAAAAATTAATTATATAATAATATATTATATTATAAATTTATAATACTTAACAATATATTATATTTTTAAATGGCTTAATTTAATAAATCATCTATTAACTCTCATATTTTTTTCAATTTCATCTATCATCTTTGAATTCTTCCAATCTTATTTATTATCTTTTACATTTATTTCAATTCCATCTAGTCCGTTAGTCTGTTATCTTTAACAGAAATCTTTTTATTCTATAAGAAAATATTTAGTCCACTAATTATATTTCTTTTGATCTTTTAGTCTTCAAATTTATATTCATTATAAAAATAGTTTTTATTCTTATTTTGCTAAATGTATTCTTACAGAGTAAACTATATGCAATCTGTCCTATGAAATATTTAAATGCTCTTAATTTTATTTGTATATTATTTTTGCAGGGACATTTAAATAATTTTACAGGATAAACTACATACAGTTTGCACTGTAAAACAGATTTATTATTTAAACTTCTCGTTCTAAATTTACTAAGTGTTTCTATTTGAATTAAGCTAGTTATTCAAGTTTATTACAAATTTTAATTAATCTATTTCTATAAAATATTTCTTGAGTCATCATATTTTATTAGAATTATAGTGTCACTTTTTCAAAATTTAAAAGACTACTTTTTTTGGTTAGATTTACCAAAAATTTTGGACAGTGAATTATTTTAAATATTTTTTAAAATTTATAAACTATTTAAAAAGAAACTAAACATTTTCGATTAAAATAAAATTAAATTAATAATTAATAGACTAATAATTAAATTAAACCTATTTTAAACTTATAATACCATATAAAATTATAATTATAAAATTTTCCTATATGTGTATATAAAGACTCTCCTTACCTTTCTTTTTTGTTTTTGGACACTGGCTTTCCCATCTGCAATGAGCGTTTTTCTTGACCCGTTGTAAGTAGTCCCAACTCCAGTCTAATGCAAATGCCCAACTTTTACTATTCCCCCACCCAAACTCATAACGCGTGTCCAACACGATCCGGATGACGTCCGTAGAGTGAATTTCACGCACCTCCGTCGCAGTTTAGAACAGACCAAACCAAAACCACGCGTTGGCACGGAGAACCAACAAGACAGCGACGTGTCCGCACCACATCGGCCGTTTTCCCACCTCCCCTCCGCGGGTTATTTCAGTTCAGTTTCCTAAAAAAAAAAAAAAAAGCAAAAAGAAAAAGAAAATGGTACTATTTTTTAAAAAATAACTTTTACCGCAAAAGAAATTATTAAGAATAATAGTAAAGAGGATAATATTTTGAAATTAATAACTTGTCAAATATAGTGTTATTGTATTAGTTGATATATTTAATATTATTTGTTTTAAAAAAATAAAATGAGTCCATTACTAAATAATATAAAATTTATTTTTTAATATTTTAAACGATGTAATTTATATCATTTTATTTATCTCAAATTTTGATATCAAATTTTTATCTAATTTATCATTATTCAGTCATTAAAGATACTAGAAAAATATAAAATCTCTTTATCTCATTTTTTTTAAAACTAAGTATTTGATAATCATTTTTATATTTACTTATATTAAAAAGATAAATGATAAAATTAAATTTTTTATAGAATAATTAATCAAAATAAATTCATAATAATATAGTTAAAGTATATTTATATTTTAAAAAGTAAAAAAAATTAATTTAAAATAAACTTAAAATAAAAAAATAACAAATATTTTAAAATAAAGTGTATCATATGGTAAAAGGTCGTAAACCAGTTAAATATACAATTTTTTTACTTGATTTTAGGTTTTTCTTTTTTCACCGCAACAATTTCATTTGAGAAAATAACCATTCTCATGTTTTTTTTTTTTTTTAATCATCTAGATGTTACTGCTGTAGTGATTTCCTGACTCTCCTCTCCTATCTCTAGTGCTCAAGGAGAAATGGAGAATGGTAATGGCATTTGCCAGCTCTGTAAATTCAGAGCTCAATTCACTGATTTTTACAACTTAATAAATGAAATCCTAATTATGAAGATCAGTTTTCAAACTCTTATGAGAAGTTTCAAGTACTGTTAAAAGAAAATCTCCTATGGGAAGTTTCTGCATCTGAATTCTGTAGCTTGTTAATGAATAAGAGCCAGTTGTGGAAGGCTGAAGTTACTGCACATCTGTTTCAGTTTGTACAAATTTGTTGCTTCTGACAGATTCCCATCAGATAGGTTGGTCCATATTCCATCAATTAAATCTACCTCACCTCTGAGATAATGGCTAGCTAGCAACATTGATCTACCTTATTACCTCTGGCTTCATTTTTGCTCCTAACTTCAATAATTTTCATTGTTAAAGACGGTGGCTTCAATTGAATGAAAAACCAACAAAAACCATTAAGATTTCGAAAATTTAGTTAAGACCTATGCGTAAGTCTATCCTAACTATGTATTTAATCATTTTGAACTTGCTAAATGTGAAAATTATGTATGTTGACTTAAACTGAAAAAAAAAAGTAAAAATAGAAGTAATTCTCCTCATATTTAAGTTACATATTTTTTTATTATATTCTCGATGTCATAATTTCTTAATCAACATATTCTGTTTTCTTTTATACATGTTAGATGAGTTAAGAATAAAATTTGACTTTAATATCATATCAAAATTATGCATAAAAATTTAAATATAAAATTTACATTTAATTTAAAATTAATTAATAATATCTAAAATGATATCTTTTATATTTAAATTACACATTTCTTTATTATATTTTTAACACGTGATTTTTCCACTCAACAAAAAGCAAGAGATGTTGAACGAGGAACAACTACTTCAACCGTTCATGCTTTGTGTAGCTAGGTATTAGGCTTTACAGTTCTCCTTTTTCCAGTGCACACTTCTCTTTTCCTCTTTCCTGTTTCCTTTTGTTTGTACTTTGAGATCTCAATGCATCGAAATGTAAGTTTGAGATATAAGTATAGACAGAAGCACAATCACCCAAATTGGCTTTTCTTTATCAGTAAACAAAATTATTAGCAGCAACAGAAAAAAAGAAGCTTCACATAACTCAAAACTTCTCTTTCAGACATAAGTAATGAGTAGTGGTAGTACCCATCACATCACTTCTCTCCAACAAAGGAAACAAAAAGAAAATAACCACACCCATTTGATCATCTCTTCTTTTTCACCTTTAATTTTTTCTCTGTACAGATTAAAGAATGAGAGTGCTAGTGTGCAATAGTGCAGTTCATTTTACGCAATCTGCATTATTTTTAACCATGGATAAAAAGGTGGCCCATAATATCAAGGGAAATGCACTTCAGTTTTCCGGTAAAGAATCTTCCCCTAATTCTCTATCTTCTCCAATTTTTCAAATGGAATTCTGGACTTCTAATTTCATCCTGCAAAGAACAAAGGTAAACAAAATTATAACATGGGAAGACAATCTTTATCAACTATAATTCCTTTATTAGTCTTGTCTTTAATATTAAATCCAGTTTTGAGCCGGGTTTTGTTTGTTGTTCTGGTACTTAGGAGATCATAGCAGATCAAATTGCGAGATGCAAACTTGTGGGGTTAGGAGTTATTTATAATGCACAATTTGTACCTGTTGTGATAAAGAAATGGTGTGTGGAGAGTATCAGAAAATGGTTCTTTAGCGTTAGAAAACAGTGCTGCACTAGCAAAAGGAGAGAAAACAAAGTACTGACCTTATTTTTTTTGCACTATAGACAACAGAATGTCTCTGTCATGATCTGTGGCTAATTTCTACAAAGCTGTGCCCACCTGCATCAAGTAACAGATAAGAATAACAAGGGAATGGTATATATGTCATCCACTGGATTCCTTTACAGGAACCAATATGAGAAAATATTCACAATATGTGTTCTGTTTTACGAAATTAGGAGAGGAAATTGACTAGAAAATATGTTTTTCTGGCACAAAAACGGCACCTTGCTTTGTCTGCAAGAGGCTCGAAAGCAATAGGTATATACATTTCAAAAGATCAGCCAAAAAGTCTATGTCATTGTATTAATTAAATTGTGTTTGTTTCCACCTAATATGACAGCATTAGGATCTGGCTAGTAGATATGAAAACAATTTACCTTAACGGTTGAGAAGACCACAGCGTTCAAATTCCTTGGGAAATTGCACTTTCTTCATGAAAAATGATCAGGTAAATATTCTGTTAAGAGGTAAAAAAAACTTGCTTCCGTTCTAAGGTAAAAGTCATTTCATAGGTCTGTTTCTTGGTCTCCTTCTCAAGAAAAGCATGAATTACCGGATAGAACAGCACATTGAACCAATGTTTCATTTTCCTCAATTGGAGCAGATTGAAATATGGTATCCTTGAGAAATTCATCCCTCAAAAGAAGCTCAGTTCAGTAAATCCATGTGACTGAGGCAATAGCTCCTCAACCTCTACCCGCGAGCTGGAACAACTCATGCTTTTCTTGATTCGGCTGCAGCTAACTGACTCAACCTCTGCTAAGAATATGCTGTAAACAGGCCTATGATCTGAGAACCTTGACTCCCCACAAACATAAGATAACTGATTGAGGCCTCTTCCATACCACAAAATTCGATCACACCTTCATATATAGACAACTTGACTTAAGTGTCTGTATTATCAAAACACTGAAATTTATTTCATACAATAATTATGTTAAAGAAGAGAGTAATATTATCAAAATCTCTCTTTTTCCTATTTAAAATTTAAAAAAAAAAAAAAGGTGAAAAGAGAGATTACCAAGCAGGAGTTCTTCGCTTCTCCTTCAGGTACCTATCATCCCCAGCATATCTATCTGAATTATTTGAATACTTGTATGTAGGAGGAAAATATATTCTCCCTTCATTCCATCCCTCAAAAACACGCCCTCGCCTCTGCTCTATCCGAAGCTGAAGAATTATAAAAAAAAACTTCAGATTGAGTTGTTCTTATAGAGATTAAGAGTAAGCAAGAAGCTCCTTGACGAAAAGCAAATCAAAAGATTATATTCAAGTTTTTCTAAATAAATAAAAAATCTCAGAGAGGATAAGCAACCTGGTCCTTCTCTAACAATGCCTTCCAGTTGCGCATCCCAACTAAAGACTTTGCAGAATGGTACGACAAAGCAATCCGATAATTCAAGTCTCCAAGCCAAATAATTCGACTTCAACAAGACAGAATTTAGAATGTTAAGCCAAAAACCAATCTTTTGACAAACAACATAGGAATAGATAGGAAAATAATGTGGCATCTAATCAAAATGCAACATATGAGAGGGCCTTACTCATGCTCTAGAATCGTCTGGGGAGAGTTCTCATCTCCCACACCATGAACCCTGGGAAACCTTGTCTTTCGAAGGATCTCCATGACATCAGAGTTTCTTCGCAACTCATCTCCCTCCTTCTGCCCAGAGGTTAAGTGGCTACAGACGAAGCAAAAGCTTGTTTGATGCAAAGACATGCTAATTGAAATGGAGCCCTGGAGAACTTAAGAGAATGAGATGACTGCCTTTTTTGAGTTCATTACAGTTCTGCACTCAAATTGGAGATAAGTTCAAGAGGCAAATATGTACCTTGTTGCCAAGATAACCCATCAATCCTCTGCCAACACAAGACACTTTCATGTTGTGAACATAATCTCGGAGATCACTCTTCACCCAAACTGTCAAGAATATTCCAACCATCTGCTTGCTGGCCACCAAACAGTATCTTGATTGCCCTGCTTGCCTAAAGCTTTCCTCCATGGCAAAGGATCCACCATAGGACATTGGTGAGTACTGTGAATAGAGAGTATTGCCTGGTGAATCTCCTGGTCCATTCTCCTCATCAGATGAACCCCATTTGAAATTGGGGTCATAATCACTTGGCCTATGCCCAAATATAACTCGATCACAGACACTGAACCTACGATCAAGTTGGGGTTGTGGCACTGACATATCATTATCCATTCTCATGCTGCGACTCAGGGATTGAAATGATCGCCGGTGAAAGAAAGATGAGGCCTTTTGCCTTGTCGAGCCCTCAAAGTCTGCATCCAATTCTACAATTGGATCAGGGGTTGGGGAAGGTGTGTGGAAGCCATAACTAGTGCCAGGAAGACTATTTAGAGTCTTCCTAATCAGAGCCAACCATTTTCTTGCTGGGCCATTGTCTTCTGTTCCCAGAACATTACCAGCATTCAGAGGAACAATCTCTTGAAACCTAAGCCAAATGGACCAAAGAAGCTTCCATTAACAACACTCAAGTTGCATGATTAAAAGAAAATATATTTTTAAAAACTTAAATGATTAAGTTGGCATACCCAAGAACATAAATATCTGAAGGAGGAGAAGTATGAAGCCAATCTTCAAGACTTAAATAACTTGGAGGAGATTTTCCAGCCACATTCCATGTAGCTACAAAAATCCTGCAACCCAAATGGGAAGCAACCATTCTAAGAACCAAATCTAGAAATGAACCAATAGAATTCAGAAAATAAAGAAGAATAAAGAAGCATACCCGTAATTATGAACATCAGTAACTTGTGAGGCATCAAGATCAATCTTACTCCGGCGAACTCGATCAGAGCTCCTCTTGTTCAATCTCTCTGCAAATCCACATAACAGATATAGATTACTGGACAATGCTGTGGAAAACAAAATCAAAATACCAAAAGAGATAGTCATTTTTTATGTTGCTTTGCTCTAGAATTTTGGGTGAGGGTTTAAAAGTAATGTGGTCTAAACTACTACTTGGGTGGTTTCTGATACTAAACCTGTTTTGCTTTTCTTGATATTGCATGCCTCCCAATCTGAGAAATTGTTCCTCCAATCTTCATCACCACCTGAAAAAGAAAAACCATAAAGTTGCTTCAGCTACTTCCTCTCCACCGTTGGTGCATCAATTTCACATATTAAAAACAGAACACCATAAATAAAATAAAATAAAATAAAATAAAAAACAAAAAACAAAAACCAATTTTACTTGCAAAGAAAACAGAAACAAGTACGTGTTTTCAGAAAGGAGAAGAAAACAAAAAACAGATCTTGAGCTGCTGCAAATGGGAAGCAGCAGAGGCTTCAATTGGAAACCAAAACACATTTCTGCGTAAAACAAATGGAGGTGGACATGGAAGAATAATGCAAGTGTTCAGGGTCTAGAAGAACCTAAAGCAACCCCATTTTTGTTCTTGGTATTGAATCAAGGATTCCAAATTGCAGAACCCAGTTTCACAGACTCATTCAGAGACAATAGAACAGAAAGATTAGACCAATCAGTCACCTCGATAATCGAGGTCATCAGCATGAAAGTCATCAGCTTTGCTCTTGATGTTGAACCACTTCTTGACCAGTGTCTTGGGCCATGAAAGCTTCAGCAGGGAACAAACTCACAGAGTCAGACTTAGCAGGCTTACAGCACAAAATGCATACAAAAATCAGATGAGGTTTTTGGCATTTCTCAAAACCTTGCTTTTCTTGGAGTTCCCATCTCTCATTTTTTCACAACTTCATATAGCTATCCGGATTTGTACCAATGAACTGTGTATTCTGATGGGATTTTAGTTCTACTGAATGTAAATGACTGAAGTGGAATACAAAACAAACACAAATCCGGAATCTATTCAGAACCCAGAAGCAGGATTCTCCCTACAGTTGTAGGGTCCAGAAAACCAAGAGAGAAAGCTCAAGCTTAAAGCTGAAAACAATGTGAAAAACTCACCAATTTAGAGAGAGAGAGAGAAGAAAAACAAAAGAGTGATTTCTGTTTCGTCCAGTTGATTCAAGTAATGAAGAGAAAACAAAAAGGGAACAAAGAAAGTTCCATTCTTTTCTCTGCATTTTGTTACTTCACAAGGTGAAAACCAAAATGCCCCACTCAGGCTCTTGTTTTCTCCTTCTACTACCTGGAGTCCAAGATAAAACAGGAGGTGGAGGGGGAAAAGAATAGGAAAAACTGAAGGGAATTTTGAAACGGAAACGAGCAGAGAAAAAAGAGAAAATAACTGATGCGTGGAAGTAAGACCATGAGATTCTGTGAGTAGAAGAAGACAATGTTATGACACATAAAAAGAGAGAAGGAAAGAAAAGAGAGTTTTACCTCGTCCTGGGTGCAGGGCAAAGTTTCTATTTTTTTTTTTTTTTTAATTTTTGGTTGTACAGTAAAAATAACTTTTCTTTCAGCCACTTTAGACGTTCGGGATGTTGGTATTAGGATTACAAAAATTCGGGTTTTTTAAAAATAGTGTTTAAAAATATTAATTTATTAATTAATTTTAATTTTTTAATTAATTAATATTAATTGTTTTATTTATTAATTATTAATAATTATAATTATTACATATTTTAATTAAATTAAATTAAATTAATATTTTTTATAATAATATTTAACAATTTTAATAATAATAACATTTATTATTTTAGTGATAATAATTGTAACTTTAGTCACTTTT